GCCACGGCCACGGCCACACACACCGACACACACATGGAACAGGTTAAAGATGGGAGTTGATTGTAGCCTCATGTAACACACACATGTAGGTCCCCCTCTCTTGGGCAATGTTCTGTAAGCCACTAATTATGATTGCGGACAGTTTAGTTAACATGAAATGTAATATTCTGTTTACAATCAGAACAAACCAAAAACAATACATCTGATTTAACCCATAGAAGGTCTAAACACATTCTTATATGGATGTAATTACAGTGAAACGGGTATGGGTGTTAAAATGGTGGAACATAGGTGTAATATTGGTGTAGTAATGGTTAAATAGGGGTGTTATACGGGTCTATTAATGTTAAATATGGCTGTATTGTAGAGAATAGCAATCAATTCATTTCCCCAAATATTTATATGTGGATGCCCATTCAAGGATATAACAATCATCCAGTTATAAAATGTTCCTTTAAACAAATGAAATGCTCTCATGGGTTGTGAAACATATTTCTGTTTGTCTACTTCGAGCCAGTGACGTCAGTACATTTCGGGGAAAGTAGAACTTGTATTTCAAAGTTCTCTGAAGCGTGTAAACATTTAGACATTTTTAGTTTATGCAAACCGTTTGAGAGCTTAGCAAATGTATTCAGACAGATAAAGTAGTCTGTAGAGGGACTTAGCAAAAGCATGTACAACTCGTACTTATCTAATGTAGATAATTAGCTAAACAGTCTTTTCCCCCTACCTGTTACATCCTCACATGGGAAGATGAAACCACACACACACACACACACACACACACACACACACACCGACAGATATCACTGGCATGTCACATCGAGTCATGTTACAATAGCAGCTCCTGTCACTTTCTCAGAGACTGACCATACTAGCCGTTTGGTTTCATGTATAGGAGACATGCAGAGGAGGTTTACCATCAACAGAGAGGCAGTTAGTTCTGAAAAGCCTGAACAGGAAACCCAAAAGAGCACATTATGATTGGTTTAGGCTCTAATTGTAGGACTTGGGACTTGAATGCAAAGACGTGAGACTTACTTCATACTTCAAAAATAAATACTTGTTTCCCACCTCTGTTAGAAATCAGGAATTGCATTTTATTTGAACTGCACAGTTTCTGTGACCCTTCACCTGCTTCTGTTCTCTTTACCTGCCTCCATTAGTATCTCTATACAAAAGAATGCATCCTTCTCTTATTTCTATGCATGTATATTCCTCTCTAAGGATCCCACAACAATAGCATTCATTGCATGTTTCTAAAGACACCGGCTCAGTGAACTCCATGAACTCTCCCTTGTTTCCGTCAGAGGAGCACCTGCGGCTCAGAGTCTCAGTGTGATCTTTTTCTGTCCTCCTCGCGGGGGTATTTGTATTGGTGCGGCTGAAAAGGACTAGTGTAAGACAGGGAGGGTCTGCCTGCAGCGGAGGGCTGCAGATGAAGTGTGTGCACACCGCTCTAATGAGACATTTACATGTTCGCTGCTGTTTGTGTCTCCTCGTTGTTTGCTCTGAGATTGTGTCTTGTTTTTAGCCGGGGGGCAGCCTCCAGGCCAGCAGAGTGGAGCCAATCAGTTTAATGCTCTTAAATATCCAACAGGAAGAGACTGTCTGCATCAAGAAGTCAGATTATAAAGAAGACTATGAGCTTGATTTATTACCTCAGTGAATATTCTCATCACGAGTGTATGGTGTCAACCTTCAGTTTCAAGTCTTATTCTATACAACTCGGTGTTCATTTAGTAAATTATGGTCACATTCAGAGTCAAATATATGTTAAAGCAGGGTATGTTGTAGGGCGGGGCTACCTTCTGATTGACAGGACGCTTCTCTTCGTCTTCGTCTGGTGTCATTTTGGTGCAAACATCCAAGATGGCAACCAGCTTGAAAACCATACTTGTCAACTTCTTATACAGAGGGTGTTTCTCAATGTCGAGCACGCTTGGTAGCACATGTCTGCCGAGCGTCTTGCTTCAAAAGGGAGGCAAGAATCCTTCCTGGCATTCGGAAAACGAAGAGTGGAGCAAGTGTGCAGGTGTGCGTCATATGAGGCGCCTTACATTTTCCGCCACAGATTTGGGGAAATTGGTCCGTGCGCAAAGCATTGTGGGGATTTTAAGACCGCGGAGTCTACACATGTGCAGCCTCGAAGTTTCTCCAAACGAAGTACGCCGGGCTCGGTAGAATTCCAAGTATGCTGGACATTGTCCTTCGGCGGGACTCGATGACGTAGTATGCTTGAAATAGTGGCTCTGGAGCATCCTTACTCGACATTGAGAAACACCCAGTGTCTGTGTTCATAGCAGACGAATGGACACCGGATTGCAGGACTTATTATTATGTGTTTTTGTCGATATAAATGCAGGCCTCAGCAGATGAAGGATGGAAGCCCCCCCTCTCATTCGTCACACTGTAGCCCTATCAATTCACAGCGCTGTTAAATCACACAGGACAACATTAATAGCACACAGTCTATGTGTGTGGCCATATTTCATGCTACACACACACACACACATGCGCACACACACACACACACACACACACACACACACACACACACACACACACACACACACACACACGTGCCAAGCACTCTGCCGGAGCGTTTGTCAGCTGCAGCAATGACTCTGCACAATTATACTCTTTACAACAAAGATTGTTCCTGATATGTTTAAGCTGATTTGCTCTCCCTGATGACAAAGTATTAAAAAGCAAGTCTGAGGATCTGCTGATTGTAAGCTTTGGGTGTAGATTACGCACAACAGCAGTGAAAGATTAAGAAAGTCTTCCAACTTTACAATTTTCCCACATGACACGGTAATGAGAAAAGGGAAATTCTCTATTGTGGTCTGGCAGGCAGTCTGGAGAGAATCTGGCTTTCTGTCAGCTACTGTCTGCACAAGACATTAACTTTTCCACTGATAACCACAAACATATACTGTAGATACACATGTGATGTCACCAGGTTCAGCATGAGGACGTGAACTTGCGTGTGAGGAATAACAAACATCAACGTTCCCGCCTCCGGTGCTCTGAAGACGAGGCCGTTTTCTGTCTGACCGCCAATTCAGAAGTTTTTTTACTGCTGCGTTTTGTCTCTAACCTGGATGAATTTCATTTTGCTGTTTTACCAGTTGCCATGGTGAGACCGAGACTTATTTTGTGTGTTTGTTTACTTGCGAGTGTGTGTGTGTGTGTGCGTTCCACAGCTGTTTTTTTTTCACTGAAGCTGGCTGTCTAATTTGGGGAAATGGGCTTCTGCAGAAAAGGGTGTGTGTGTGTGTGTGTGTGTGTGTGTGTGTGTGTGTGTGTGTGTGTGTGTGTGTGTGTGTGTGTGTGTGTGTGTGTGTGTGTGTGTGTGTGTGTGTGTGTGTGTGTGTGTGTGTGTGTGTGTGTGTGTGTGTGGAGTTAATAAAGGAATCATTTAGGCCTATGTCTGCAGGCTACTATGTTAATACAATCAGTGGACAAAGAGTATCACTCATTTTATCCAAACACACATTTCCTCCCCTCCTAATCTTCCTTTTCCCTTCTGGTGCGCTTCACACTCACAAGATGTATGATGTCTTGTGAAACACACACACTTGGTCGCACACACACAGAAGGCCTCCCACCTGAGTCCCAGCTTCTTTCTGAGACTAATGTCCCCTTTACCTCACATTACGCATAATGTCCCCTACCTAACGCACAGGCACAGCCATCCAAAAGATGGAGCATCCGCTTCCAGACATCATATTAAACCTGCGCACATCCACAATATTAACATATACACACACACACAGGCACAAAGCCACTTTAGTGAATGGCGCAGCAGCCTTGCCTCTGATGTGCTTTCACTTCCTGGCTCCCATTCCGAGGCATCAGAACTTCCAGCATTACATGTTAATGATATCTGGTAATGCGCCGCTGAGGCATTGACATGCAGAATGAGTTTAAACTCATACGTACATGCAAAACACAGCGATACACTCGTCCTTCACGGAGTCATTTAGACTCTGGTGTGTGTGTGTGTGTGTGTGTGTGTGTGTGTGTGTGTGTGTGTGTGTGTGTGTGTGTGTGTGTGTGTGTGTGTGTGAGATACTAAACGTGTTTACCTCTTTAGATGTGGGGGTCTGCTGGACCTGTGATTGTGTGTTTATGTACACACATGTCAGTTGTTGTGTGTTGGGCTCCCTCAGTGTGTGACTGCTGGAGTGTGTATGTCACGCTACAGTGGTGTGTGGTGTGTTTGACCGGTGAAATGTCCTCTGAGTCAACAGCCTGTGTTTGTATGTGGAAACAGAGCCCAGAACCCAGATGATTGAAACTGTATGCTCTCTCCTCTCTGTCTTTGTTTAAACCCCTGAGTACTGCTGTAACCCTGCACCTATCGTGCAAGCACATGAAGGCACGCTTTTCTACATGTGAGCTCACAAAAAACTTTAAAGAGGACATATTATGTTAGTTTTCAGATTCACATTCGTATTTAGTGTGACATCTTTCCATGCTTTAATGTTCAAACAGCTTTTTATTTTTCTCATACTGCCTGTGCTGAGCTCACCAGAGTTCTGACTTTAATCAATCCCATCCTAGTGTGTGGATGGCAGCGTGAACAACCTACCCTATAATGTCATATTCTTCATATAACTGGCATGTTTGTATGAACAATACACACATGGTGAATGTAGGGGCACGCTGCTTACATGTGGTTACGTGTGTTTACGTTACCACATGTGGGGCATTGCATGAGTTCTTCCTCTCTTGTTTGGCTGCACACGATACATGTAAATACTGAATATTCGTCCACTTAATTTCCATATATCTGAGGTTAAGCCTGAGGAGAAGTTTGCTCTGCTTCAGTAGGCCGACAATCCGCAAACAGCTTAATTAATTTTTGTAATCTACCTTCTATCATTCCAATATGACTCTGAAACTAGTTGCTCAAGGGTGTTTTGGCTGTCGGACTGATCCTTGGACCTTTTTAGTCTCCTTACGTTTTTCTATCCTGCCTCTCCTCACAGATGGTACCCAGAGGAGCCGAGTCTCGGACAGCGCCCCGCTACGAAGAGGTGGACCGGCAGTACCCCACACAACCCAGGTGAGACCACTCTGTCCACCATGCAGGAAATAAAGGGATAACTTTGCCACTCCCTCCCTTTGTGTCTCCAACACACACACACACACACACACACACACACACACACACACACACACACACACACACACACACACACACACACACACACACACACACAGCACAGACTAATCCTCTTTGGAGCTTATAATTAAATCTGGAGTGTTTGCCTTGGGAGCGTCTACTCATCCTAGGAATAGGAGTGCTCAGCTCTCCAGAGAGCAGGGCACATGCAGGAGGATCTCACACACACACACGCACGCACGCACGCACGCAGAGGGGTGGTATGAAGAATGTATACCCTCTAGTGTGGGTTTAACAGAACCGCACATGTTCCTTTTTATTTGTTTAAACTCTCCAATTTCAAATGAGGTACACACACATACCTCTCCACATTACAGTCCGTGAGAGTGTGTGTGTGCACACGCCGAGCAAGCGCCATCTTTGTGATGTTGGCGCCCCCCCTCCTGAAAGCGAAGTGGAGCGAGGAAAGTGAGAGGACGAGAATGAGGAAGAGAAGGGACACCGGGATGGAGTGAGAAAAAGAGAACAGTCATTTCATGGGTTATTGCCCCCCCTGATATGACAGGCACCAGGGAGGCTCAGACATCAGTACCAGCTCGACACACACACACACACACACACACACACACACACACACACACACACACACACACACACACACACACTGAGAATCTGAGGGAGAGGAGGGACATGAGGATGAGCCCAGGGACAGATTATCCAGCTGTGGAGACAAACCCAAATGAAGACAGACACACCGAGAGACACCTGCATGACCTTTGACAGCTCAGACTGCACTCAGGCGCAGATAAAAGAAGCACTTATCAGAACTTTCTCCGGAATAATATTGAGGCAAGTCCGGAAAATTGAAAACCTCCCCAGGCGTTCAGAAATGAAAGTTTTATTTCTGAAATTATTAGTCGACAAGAATCTTGGAAATCCATTAACCGTTTGAATAAGTTTTAAAGCAAGATGACCAGACGTAGGCCCAGTGTCATTGCATAGAACCAACGGCTTCCTATACCATGTTATTAATTACAGCCTATGCGTCCTGTGACAAGGTCCGATTCTCTGTTCTAGCCTCTTTGAGTAATGAAGATGTAGCAGCTCTCATGTTCTGTGGCTTATATTTTGAGGCGTTCAGATAAAAAGTACGGTTCGGTTAATGTTCATTAGCTCAAGAAATGTTCCCGTTGCTATCTAATTGTTGTTTATCTCCTCTTTGAAGTATTTTTAGACCCATAGGATAGGATTCGTTTGAAATGCAACAAAAGGCAGAGGAGCAGTGCCAGATAGAGTTTGAACACTATTCAAACTCACATGTTTGTGTACTTGTTTCTGTAAAGATAAATCATGACTCCTCAGTTCCCCCCCCTCAAAAACTCCCACTAGCATAAATACAGAGGCGAGAGGAGGGAGGACGCAAATATATTCCGGGAAATCTTTTTTTTCTTTTTTTTCATCGAGGGGAAGAACAGGAGAAAAAGAGAGAGCAGACACAGCAGTGAATTGAATGCATTTTTCAAAGTGGAGCTGAACTTTGTGCGAAATCCCCCCGGGGGCCACCATTATTGAAAGCCATTTCCTCTCAAAATGAGTGCGGCTCCACCATTGGCCTGGCTCCCATTAGCATACATTTGGCCTGCCTTTGTGTGGAGCCGGCTGGGGCTGCAGCTGGAGGGGTGGGAGTGAAGGAGGTGTGTGTGTGTGTGTGTGTGTGTGTGTGTGTGTGTGTGTGTGTGTGTGTGTGTGTGTGTGTGTGTGTGTGTGTGTGTGTGTGGTACAGGAGATGTAGCAAAGCACCTCACAGATGGGAGAGAGGAGAGGAATGAGTCAGAAGGATGGCGATGAAATTGAAGCTCACATTTGAATATTTCACTTTAAGTGTCAAACACGTCCATCCTCGTTGTAGCTCTCCAGAAGAAAGCACATAAATATGGCCCGTTGCATTTTGAGATTTCAGTGTTTTTGGATCTGTTTTTATTACATGCGTTCAACTTACAGCGTATTCCACTTTCCTCCCAGTCAAAAAGAAAGCAGTAGGTTTGCCAAGTTGCCTTCCCACCTTCTTGTTTTTATCAGATTTCCCTTCACTGGCAGATCTGTCATTCCCAGCCCTCAAATCACGAGTCTCTTTAGACCTGAAGGAGTGGATGACAAGGAAAACGGACCTCCGCCTGGGACTCAGTGCCGAGAGCAACAGCGCGGCAGCCAACTTGAGGAGCTGAAGTCTGGGAAAGAGGATTTGGAGAGAGGGCTGCGTCGAGTGGTTGGCCCCGAGGGGGGGGGGGGGGGGGGATAGTGCTACTTTGGCTCTTACCTCTGTCTCCGTCAGCCATTAACGCCGGGGTGCAGCTCAGCCTGCGGAGAGGCTCTGTGCTTGGGGACACACACAGATGCACACACACACACCGCCATATGGAGAATATTAACATCGTTACCAATTCAAAGCAGCGGGTCATGGGCTCGGCGACCCAGCCCGGGGTTATCCAATCAGAGCAACCCCTGACCCGCTCCCCCAAGGTGATTGGATTAGGAGGGCCGGGTTGGCGCGACAACGGTGCTGGCTGTGGCTGATAATTGGTTGATTCATGTGAAGTCGCTGAGTCAGAATGAACACACACCAGCTTAGGAAGCTCCTGCCACATCTGGACAGTGAGATGACCCACTGAGGAGGAGGAGGCACGGTGTGTGAGGCCAGGTTGTCACAGGCTGCTGATTCTACGTTTTCTAGGGAGTCAAGAAAGAAAATCTGTAAGATGTAGCTTGTGACATAGATACCGTTTATTTTAGAGAACTAGAACCCGACGTTGGATCTATTTCGGTACGGATCCAAATGATGTTCAGTCTAATAGAGTACAGCCGAAATTAGTCAACGTTATTTTGTTGATCATTGGAGGAAATGTTAAGGTTTACAAGAGTTGGCACTACTTTCTGTTTGGTGTGTGTGGTTCGGTTTGGATCTCCTTTTTAAGCCAGCAACGCTCGCTGTGTAGTGCCCTTCGTGTCAGTCGCTCCTCCACTTTTGGACTTCTGAAGACCTTTTATCACGTACCTCTTTCTGTCAAGGAGCCTCTCAGGTTCTTTTGTTTGTGGACTGAACGCTTAGTGCTCTCATCAGGCGCTCTCGGCCCCCCCCCCCCTTAAAAACCACAGGGCAGCATCTTGATTGTCCTCAGCATGTTGAGTGTCCTCCGGTATGTTGGGGAAGTACCCCTTAAGGACTCTTATCCGACCTTCCTGAAAAGTGCACACACTTTCCCAGTCTTACAGCCACTTGATTTTCTCCTCCATGCCTCAGCACATGAGCATTTTCACCCAGGGCTTTGTCTGCTCAGGCCTTAATGAGCCATGTCAAGACTGGACACACTTAGCAACACAAAATAGAAAATAATAAATGACTTCTGAGTGAAAGTAATGTGTTGATTATAATAGGTGAGTAAATAAAGGAAGGAAGGAGGAATATTGAAAACTGCTTTCTAATTTGGTCAACTGGAAAAAACCTCCCAAAAAATCTCCCTTATCCCCCAATACTGTTTGTATTTATTTCAAATCTGCAATATCGTTAAATCCTGTATTTTGAAACCCCCGTAGAGTCCGGATGGTATTTTCAAGGTCAGGGGAGAAATCATATTTTCTCTGCCCTCGTCTCATCTTTATTAAAACCCCATTCTGCTTCTCACAGTTTCATAAATGATCAAGTGATCCGCGGCCCGCTGCTGTCCAGCTGTCGAATGACTCACTTAAAACTCGCCCAACTCAGTTAGAGTTATTGTCTCCGTAACTTATTTAATTTCTCCGGTCCTGGAGAGTCTTTCTTCGTAATCGTTTTTCTGCGTTCGGCCCATGACAGCTGCTGATGCATTTCCAAGACCCTCTGTGATTGGTTTAAAAGGTGATGTGACCCCTGTCTTTTATTGTTAAATAAGCAACCCAAGAGCATCTGAAGCAATGTGGGGATTATTGTGTTTGATTTCCCGAGAGGTGTCCTGCCCCCGTCTCTTATTTGCAGGCCCTTTATGAGGGATCCCATTGGTGTGCAGACTAGGCAGCGGTGTTTGTCCTCAGCCACAGAGAAGTGTAATGGAATCAGTAGAAATGAAAAGCTTTAGCTAGCTAGACACCAGTGGCTTTACCTGTTTAAAATAACTGTTTTCTGATTCCATCAATCCTTTTTTCACTTCTACCTTAGCGTCTCCCCTTATTCCGTTGTTCCCAAAGTCAGGTTTGCGTTCAGGAAAATGAAATCACCTCTTTATAAATAAACCAAAACATACACTTTGAGGCTTCGGAGCTCAGGAATGAAAGTTTTATTTCTGAAATTATTAGTCGACAACAATCTTGGAAATCCATTAACCGTTTGAATAAGTTTTAAATCAAGATGACCAGACGTAGGCCCAGTGTCATTGCATAGAACCAACGGCTGTTATTCAATGTAATCGTGGTTTCTTCCTATACCATGTTATTAATTACAGCCGTGTTTACCCTGCGATGACACGGCAATATCCGTCCTGTGACAAGGTCCGATTCTCTGTTCTAGCCTCTTTGAGTAACGAAGATCTAGCAGCTCTCATGGTCCCCCGTTCGGATAATGTTCATTAGCTCTCAGTTAGAATTACATAGACTAGTCGCGTACAAGTCTGCCTGACGTTCAGTCTGCAGACAGACACTGACGAGCAGCTCTGTGGAAGACAGGTCAGCAGGCATTGAAATGTCTTCTTCTTCTTTGCACAGGATGCAATAAAATATAATAGAAAGGGCATACAGTGAACTAAGTTTGAACTGCAAACAATCTGAGAAAGTCGCAGCGAGCTTAAAGTCTCTCCCATCTGTTTCTGTCGTTAGCTGCTGCTCCCTCAACATGTCTCCATTACGTGATAACTCTCCCTCTTTGAGAACTGTCCAAGACGTAAATCTGCCCTTTGACCGCCTTAGCAACAGCT